TCAAAGAAAAAGGTGGCGCTACAAAGTATTAACACAAGGGGGCCGAGTAATTTTTCACGCTCAGTTTTTCAGTTTATTTATTAAAAAAGTTTAAAATATCCAATAAATTTCGTTCCACTTCATGATTGTGTCCCACTTGTTGATTCTTCACAAAAAAGAAATTGTAGCTTTATGTTTGAAGCCTGAGATGTGAAAAGTTCAAGGGGACCAAATACCTTCGGAAGGCACTTTATCTTCCCGACTGCATTAAACACTGTGGTCTCCACAGACAAAACTGATATGATGTAAGCAAACACATCGGTCTACGTTCCTACCTTCATCTAAGGTCACAAGCTTTGGGTAGTGACTGAAAGAACGAGATCGCGAATACAGGCGGCCGGAATGAGTTTCCTCCACAGGGTGTTAGGGCTCTCCCCTAGAGAGAGGGTGAGAAGCTCAGTCATCAGGGAGAGACTCAGAGTAGAGCTGCTGCTCCTCCACATCGACAGGAGCCAGTTGAGAGTACTCCCAGGTAAAGGACAGATGAATGACAGGACAGGGGCACTTCAGGGGGCCAATCAGATTTCAGCTGGGGCTAATGCCCCTGTGGCTCCACCCCTGATACTGACTCAACTGAAAAGTTGCTGCACAGTACAATGCAGCATTTTTTTTACAAACTTAAAATAACATCCTCAACTCAACGAGGATGTTGAATAAATATAAATGCTGAATATAAAACCTGCTCAGCCAGCAATTCCAGAGTAAAATTTTTATTTTAATTTCAAATTTTTTGGGGGGTAATCATTATTAGAAATTTCTGATCTTCCAGGATGAAAACTGAGAATTAAATTTTTAACCTTTTTGAGATGAAGACTGTGAAGCCTCAGTTGCTCCTGGTATTAGAATGAGACTGAGTGAATGAAAAAAAAAAGCAGCAAATGTGTGAAAATATCAGGAAAAAGGCCATAAGTGTTTTCAATAAAAACATATTCATTTTTTTGAAGAACCCATAGKGTCATAAAAGTGCTGTATAGATGTGAAGTACTTTTCTCTTTCTTCCTATTTGTTTGACATAAATGTTTCATCTTTCAGATATTAATCATATATTTCTTTATTAGATAGCCACAGGTGATTAAGAGGTCTTCCACAGAGTAACTGTGTTTTATGAATCCCCAAGTTTTTTATTTTTTATTTTTGGTCAGCGTTGCATCAGTAAGCGTCCTTAGAATCCACAAAAGAAAACATTAAAATCTGTGGTGAGCATATCGGTTCAAGTACCGATGCTATCGATGCAAAGATGAGACAAATACTTATTATTAATTATTCACGAATAAAGTGAAAAATAGAGTCAGTTAAAAGTCTTGCATTTGTTACATCATGCCTTTGTGCAATTGAAGTTATTTTTTGTTGTGTTGTTGTCATTGTTATATTTATATTTTTGTTACATTGCTGCCCTCTTTATTATTTTTGCACTAGTGAATACTTAAAGAGTTGTGTGTAGTAGAATGTAATTGGATATTATTCTAATATCTTTGTAGAATTAAATTATTTCATTTTGTTGTAGTTAATACAAAACATTTTTATTTAAAATATTTGTTGTGTGTTTTATCATAATCAAYAAACTAAAGACAAAATCACATTCAATGAACAAGACAAGTATCATCATCGGAATACTAGTTCTGTAGTTCCAGAGTAAAAACTTCAAATTCCACACTGGTGTTTCTGTTTGTGGACAGGACCACTTTTAACCTGATCTTCAATCTAAGTGAACTGGACATAAAAACAATGTCAGACTCCAAGCTTGTATTTGTGCTGCAGATGCTACAGAATCTGTTGCTGAGCTACAGCAAAATCTTCATGTATTGTATTACTTTAGATAGCAAATAAGACTGATGATCAAAAACAAACCCCATACACAGTATTTGACTTGCAACAAAGAGGAACTTGACAGGAATTAAGAAGAAAACTTTGGATTCGGTGCTTACAATTTGTGTGTATGTTTTATGCACACGCTCCACACCTTGTTTCCTGTTTTTGGTGTTTATTTATTAGGGGTGTAACAGTACTACGTCGATCCACATCTATATATTAATTAAATTATGCACTTACATCAAAGCAAAATGAAAACATCAATCAATATTGTCATTATATGCTCGATGAGGATCTATATCACAAATCCATAACACAATGATTGTGTTAGATGGACTTAAAATATTATTTGAACGATTGATTATTGACTCATGAATTGAATTGATGTTGTATGATGACAAACTTTGTGGTAACAATAAACATTGTTTTAAAATATGGACTACTATGAGTAGTTTAGGATGTCTTTGTGAAGACATTTCTATAAATTGTGCCATTTTGACGAGAAAATTTAACAAAAAAAATTTTTTCCATGCAAAAAAGACCATGTGGTTGAAAACAAAACCACATCCCTCTTACATGGTAAATATGTAATAAGAGCTTCTGATGAGTTCATGCAAGGATCACGTAAAGTTAAATATACCATCACTGTTGATTTTGCAGGTCAYGGAAAATGTGTTGCTTGTTTCCTCCCCACATTCAAAATGTGAGAAGTGCTTCTTTTTTGCCACCAAGCTTCTGTTTATAAACAGTTTGGAGGCACATCCTGTCAACCTGGGCCTAAATAAACGAGTCCACTGTGAGGAGAACGGCAGCAGGGAGGCATAAAAGGCATTAAGTKGAGCCGTGCCAATGTCTTTTATGTCGAGGAATTATTATTTTACTAAAAGCGAGAGACCTGCTGAGCCATTGCTGACATTTTAAATTAACATTTCAAGTTAATTAGATGAAATATGTAAATGTATTTGGTCCGTTCATCTGGTGCTTCAGTCATGAAGAAAATCTCTGAGCTCTTTTATTAACACAAAACAGACGTACCCTGGTGTGGTCAGTGCTGCTGCCCAGTTTAATTACTGCATCTTTAAATATCGCAAAAACATTCTGCAGCTAATGGCAGCATAATGACATGTGAGAAATTTTATACATTGACTATAATTTCAAAAACAACTAAACTAACTTTTTTCAAATTATTTATTAAAATAAAGTCAGCAAATCAATAAATTACATATTAAATCTAAAACGAAAAATCAACATTTCTTGTTGTAGTTGTTAGAAACTTATGGTTCAGTTCATTATTTCTCAGTCTCTAAAACAACTTGTGATTTTGTCACTAAATGTGTACATTTTGGTTTAAATTCTGCTCACATATTAGTTTAACACAATGTTTCACTTGCCTATATATGCTCCATCATCAATGTCTTATAAAAATAAAATTTAATTATACAAAAAAGAACATAGCAGTAAAACATAGAGTATCCTTCACAATAATTCACATACTATACATTTACCAAAGTAAAATTTTCTTTGCATACTCACTCTGCATAATGAGACACAGTAAATACAAAACTCAGTGAATAAAATAACACATAAGAGAATTTCAGGAAACTAAAATGTCTGTTCATAAATTGTYCATTTAGAGTTTTTTTCAACTACATTAACCTGAGGTTGCTTTTGTGTTCTTTGTGTTTTCAATTTCTTAATGAGTCAAAGGAGTGCATCCCCTAAGATAAAAACTTACTTTAGGGTTAATGTACTAGTTTAGATCTTTTAAAATGAAAAGGCAATGAACAATAAGATCTTATAAATAAAGAAATAGCTTTTTGTACAGCTACATTTTGGAAAAAAAAGTGTTTTCTGACCAGATTGATGAGCTAACATTTTGCCAGAGTGGGTCAGAGTGGGGCAGAGTGGGTCAGAGTGGGTCAGAGTGGGGCAGAGTGGGTCAGCGTGGGTCAGCGTGGGTCAGCGTGGGTCAGAGTGGGTCAGAGTGGGTCAGAGTGGGTCAGAGTGGGTTAGAGTTGGTCAAAAACAACTTGAACCTAAAACATTTCACAATGGTTCATGCAAGTGGGTCAGAGTGGGTTAGAGTGGGTTATTGTTGCCATAAAACAACTTGAACCTAAAACATTTCACAATGGTTCATGCAAACAGTAAACCTTTACACTATCACTGTCACATTGTTCATTTAATTTCAAGGAAGTCTAWCACACTCTTTGTTGCCATAATATTGTAATGCAAAACAGAAGTTGGTGTAAATCTTTATAAAACAATGACATGAATATTTATGAAACATTTTAGATTCAAAATATTTTAAAATGACAATAATCATCAGCCATTAGCTCATTAAACTTGTCTAACRTATTTCTAAAATTGTTATTTAAAAAACTGTCTGCAACAGGTAAGATGTTAWCTCTTCATAACCTTTCCACAAAATCAAGCCTCGTTATTTGACACYTATACACTATCATCTTGATTAATTGTTTAATTTTATGCAATTTTAGGCATTCAGGGAAAATTGAAACTATTATTTCTCTCAAACTAACAAAGTACAAAACATTGTTTTTATTTATAARGTATAGATTATTTTTGTAACATATAATAAAATCCAATTTATATGTGATTTTCTTTGTTAAGGTAGAACTATGTTTTCCTGCAAGTAAATCCTCTGAACCAAAAAAAAGTAAACCTCTTTTTATTTGACTATAAAAAATGAAAYGTAGGCTATCTATAAATTTAAACTATTTTCAAGTTTGTTCCTAGAGTTTCCATTTTTGTTGTTAATAGAACCGTTTTCTGCAGTATATTTGGCTCATTCACACAGACTGTTATCCAATTATAGGTATATTTTGACAGGATTGYGGCTCCAACAATCAAACTGAAGAAAAAAATAACCGAACAATAACCCCCRCTTACACCATCAACACAGCAACCATCAAGTTTGTGGTGCTGAAATAGAATAAGTGTCTCCACTTTGAGCTCCCAGCAGCCTGTAGAGTGAAGTGACAGCCACTCTGATTGATTACAGGGCTTCACAGAGCTATAGGTGCTCTGTGGAYGAGTGCACAGCGATGTGTGTGGACGTGTGGCTGTGTGTCAGAGCACAGCTGCTCCCTCCCTGACTGGATTCCCTCCTCTCAGTCCTGCAGTGGCGGCAGCACTCGGTGCTCCCTTCGACAGGAGCTCAGCCATCCGAGGAGCCCGTCTGTCAAAGAGAAGCAGCTGACGGAAACACAAAGGCAAGAAATCTCTGTGGAGAGGGAATGACCGATAAGAGATGTGCTCATGCTGGACATAAGTGAACCGGGGGCAACTTTGTCAGAGGTCTTTTCTCCTTTTTTCCCCATACTTGGTGCAGATCTTTATCTGGCTGCTTTCTGATCATCCTGAGGCTGAAATGATCCACACATGTAAGGTCAGTATTAACAATAGTCTTTAATGATTAGATTCATTCAGCTAAAATTTAAGCCTATTAGTTAAAAAAATCATGTTTCTGCAATCCTCTGAAAATGTTTCCAAATCGTTTGAAAATCGCCAGGAAGATTCAAAGATTTTAGTTTAATGAAAAAGTGAAAGGTGACCAAAAATTGTTTGTATGATCCTAGCTTTCTTTTAAATGAATAAACAATAAAACACAGTTTTGTTAAGATTTTAAACCCTGAAGTTATTCGTTGAGCAGGAACCTTCCTCGCATCGCTTCATATTATTATATTGTTCCAACAGGGATCTTCACACCTCAGTGCTTAAATGTCTTCTAAAAGAAGATGTCAATATCTTGTTTGTTGTCATTTTGATCTGCGATATGTATATTGTTCCTCTACACAGGTCTGATCGCATCAGTGTGGTGGACCAAAGGTGCTAAGAGGAAGAGAGGGGGAGCAGTGGGAGGGAGGTATTCATCAAGTTACCTTCCTTGAAGGTGAGAAAGTCTAATGTGAGGAGGTGGATTGTCGGGTTCGACACAACGTCTCCCCAGAGGGATGAGAGTGTGAATCTTGAACTTCACTGGGACCAGAGCTGAACAGCACCGTCATGACTCCAAATCATCTCAATCATCTTTAAGATGAAGAATGAACACTTCCATGCTTCTTCAGAGATGTCTRCTCATGCTGCTCCTGAAAAACCTGACAACCTCAGACTGTGGAACCTGATGTGATGGACTTAATGAGGTTTTTATCTGTTTTTGCACCTTTTGTTGTAGTTCTTTGGTAGATTTTCAAAAAGACTTATAAGAGAATCCTTTCAGTTGCTTGTCTGATGTCTGGTGTTTGTTTTTTTTTTCATTAGAAATGGATCTGACCCGGGACCAGCCTTTAGGGTCAAACCCACTTGAATCCAGCTTCTCACCACTGCAACAGGAGAAGCTGAGCCACACCTTCAGCCTCCGCAGCGCTCTGATGTTAACGACCACATTTGACTCGGCTACCGCTGCTCCCAGTCAGCCTCTTCCCTCTCTCCTTCCTTCTTCTCGTCCTCCGTACTCCTCCCTTATCTCCCTCCCTGTATTCTCCACCACCACCACCACCTCCTCGCCTGCCTCAAACGAGCCAACCAGCTACTCTTTCCCTCTATCCCTCTCCAACATCTCCTTTAATGATCTTGCAGACCTGGAGAACATGCTGCTCTGGACCCTGCATGAGCCCAGCACCATCGCTCTGACCGTCATGTACTCTCTGTCTTTCATTCTGGGATTTATAGGGAACCTAATGGCCCTGCGGGTCCTGACCAGCAGGCGCAGTCGGCGACTCGCCGGCGTCAGTGCCACGCGCAGTCTCCTGGTGAACCTGGCCGTTTGTGACTTGGCTGTGGTGTGTGTGTGCATGCCCATCACTCTGGGAAACCAAATCTACACCGCCTGGGTGTACGGTGACCTCATGTGCCGAGCGGTGCCCTTTACGCAGGCTGTCTCAGTCTCGGCCAGTGTGTTGACGCTGACTGTGATCAGTGTGAATCGTTACTACAGCGTTCGATCGCCGCTCAGAGCTCGCTCCATGTTTACTCGCCGACGGATCTTGGTGACCGTTGCCGTCGTGTGGACCGTGTCCTCCCTGATRTGTGCGCCGATAGCTGTGATGAACAGGAGGCAAGAAATCAGCTTCGAGACTTTYGCCATCCTGGTCTGTCAGGAGGAGTGGCCTCAGCACCGCCTCAAGCAGGGGTAGGTAACCACACAGCAAATGTTGAATGATCTCATTTCTGTTTCAGCATTCAGATGAAATTCATCTACGGATGGATGAGATGGAGCTTGAGGGTTCTGACGAACTGAGCTAAGAGTCAGCTAAGAGTAAGAGYGCTGCTGGGCTGTTTGAAAAAGGGCATCCATCACTTGTAATTTTCAAACTGGCMAGCTTTGTTACACATAAATGCCTCTTACTGTTAGGCAGGCTGAATACTAGGAGGCTGTCAGAGAAAACTATGTTCAGGATAGTCAGTATAAGTACTCACTACCTGAAAATATGAGACTATAGCAGCTCATTAGACTGTCTGTGCCAGGGTTATTCAACTGAACTGCTCAGGGAGTCACAGTTACTCAAGGCCAACAGCTCATGGGCTGGATATCTGGTGGGGCTGGGGGGTGTTGCCTGATAACCCTCAGGGAAACACTGTGTTATATAAAAGAAGAATCTGTCTTTTATCTTTCAAAATTTGAAATTCATTTTTTTGCTGCACTGAATCATAAAGTTTACACTTAAAATTGATTTAAAATACATTTTTATCATAAATTATGTAATTTTTACATTTATCTTTTGGAGGTGGACCGGACTGAAGTCCCCCTCAGGTCACATCTGACCCACAGGCTGCCAGTTAAATAGCCCTGGTCTGTGGGTCCTCTGTGTCTCAACATTTCTGCGTTGGAGAAATGGAGGCTGTTTTTCATTCAAGAGCAGCATTTCTGGCTCATATCAGTGATTCATATGCCAAGTTTAGTATTTTATCAGACGTACTAATTGATATTTAAAAAAACCTGCATGTGCAAGTATATGTTGATGAAACTTTGTTTATATATTGCATTGACAAAGTATTGAATGTATTTTTAACTACTGAAAAATGCAGCATACTGGAAAAAAAATACATATTTTTCTGGTTTCATTGATTTATGTTTTATTTCTTGTGTTGTTAGGATTAATTGAAGTTTTTCTGGTGTTCAGCTGCCCCCAATGATTTCTAGGCCATCAGTATTTTACTGTCAGTCTTGCTTCTCAGTGCTCCACAGCTGCAGTAACATACCTCATCAGTCTCAGCCCACTTATTCCCACTCCAACCTCAGTCTGACATATTGGTTTGTTCCTTGTATTGTTTAATATTTTGTTTCTTAGCGTTTGTATTTTTTGCTGCTAGACCAACCCTTTTGTTTTGGCAATTGTGGCTATTTACAAAAGTTTATTTGTGAATATTTATTAATTAATTGGTCGCTTTTTTGGTTTTCGTTATTATAACTTTGTATTTATTTAAGTCTGTGTGAGTTTGCATCCTTGGGTTCTGTCTACACAACACGACAGGCAGCTTTAAAAAGGTTTGGATAAGGTGGATAACAAAAGAGAGAAAAAAAGAGAGAAAAATTGAGAGAGATAACTAAAGCTTAAAGTGATACCGTGATGGAAGATGGAGACAAACGCACCCATTCATCCATTTCCCTCACCTGCTTCTTCCTGTTCAGGTTCACAGGAAGCTGCACAGGGTACGAGTCCATCACTGGGCCAAATGAAGACAAATGTGGCAAACAACTATTCACACTTACCCATATACAATTTAGAGTAGCCAACTAATGCCTCGTGTTTGTTGTACTGTGGGAGGAAACCCAGAGAAAATCCACACTTGCACAGGAAGAACAYGMAAACTCCACACAGAAAGACCAGAAGTCAGACCTGCAGACTTCTTGTTACAAGGCAGCAGCGCTAACCACCCGTACCACCACACAGCCCACAAGACACACATTCAGTTTTTGTTTGCTTTTTATAAATTATTTGACCTTTRCAATTAAACAACCAAAGAAAGCACAAGGTAACATAAGAATTGCCACAACATTGAATAACCAATATCATAGCACCAAGTTTATGCTAGGGTAAATCAAAGAAATATTTTCGTCAGGGCTTATAAAAACCGACAAYTAACTAAATGTTAGTTAAAAAGAAATTCTGGGTAGTGTATAGGAGAAAAATATAAGAACAAGTTTCAGGACTAAAGAGAAGTTAAAGTCACAATAAAGCAATTTGATCTCAAATTAAGCAAACTCACTACTTTTATATGCCTTCATGAATAAGTATAACCGAGTGTCATCTGCATAGAAACAGAAATTGTTGCGATGCTTTCGTCTAACAGGAAGGATGTGGCCAGAAAGTAAAAACCTTTTCTACTCTAGAAACAGATTCTTAAAWTTTTCACTTTTCTTCCACAGGTACAACGTCTTGCTGTTTGTAATGCTTTACTGTTTGCCYGTGACATTCAACCTCACCATCAGCTCCCTGACCGGCAGACGACTTTGGGGAGGGAAGAAATCCACCTTCGCTGACCTCGACCCCCGCAGCCAAGCTCTTCACACCTCCCGCCTGAAGACGAGGCAGAAGATTGCAAAGATGGTGGTGTGCCTGGTACTCCTGTTTGCCGTCTCCTGGCTGCCGCTCTACCTGGTCGATCTCTGGATCGACTGCCAGCACCAGCCGTGGTCGTGGCTCCTGCAGACACGGCCCTTTGCTCAGTGGCTGGGCCTGACCAACTCCAGCCTCAACCCCATCTGTTACTGTTTCATCGGAGACCTGTACCGCTCAGCGAAGGTCATACGGACACGATACTACCAAAAAGTTGCCGCTCTCTTCAGCAACGCCTCATTCTCCAGCTCGGCTGCAGTGGTTTCACCTGCTGCCATTATTACAGAAACCAAAGGGATGTCAGCCGAGCATCACCGYATTGCAGTAGCTGTGGCTGCTTCTACTTCGGTGGTCACCATCCCCAGACTGCTGRGCTTAGCCGGCGGCCAGGGACAGAAGGTCCGGGTCAGTTCAGACAGCGAAATGGGATCGGGTCACAGTATCTCAGACTGGTGTGAATCCAGTCCCAGTGAGTGTGACGGCTCTTTATTCCACTGCCAGCTTCACACACTTCAGCAGCCCGTGCAGAAAAACGACTCCATGCTGGCGAGAAGACACTCTGTGAATGAGGTTGCTGTATCATTATCTTTAAGAATTGAACCTGTGGAAATAGACCTGCTGCCACTGAGGAGGCATTCAGAAGACAGAATCTATGGTCTGCCAGCTGATAAGAGAGCCATTATTACCAAGGACGGAGATAGATTTTGTTACACTAGGCAGCACAGAAGCAAAACACCCCGAAACTATTCTCTGGAAGGAAACGCAGAGAATAAAACAACAAATATGACGAGCCTGTGAATGTTTCAGATTATCGGATGTATCAGCCAGGGGAGGAATTTCCTCTTTTTGTCCTGCGAGAAGGAAAAACATACTGCTCCCATCTTACAATTTATAGTTGACAGTTTGGCTTATTTCAGAACCATTTGTTTGTCTTGTAGATAAGCTCACCAATTCTTTGTTTTCCTTCTKTCTGCATTTAGTCTAGTATTTACAAAGGCTTTTAAGCAGATGTGAAGGAATCAATGATGGGGRGAAACCTGCAGGGGAGCAGCTTGAGTGTTTTTCAGCCAGTCAACAGTAGGAAGAGTAGATCGCAGCAGCAGGCCATAACATATGTCATAACATCATCACAGCAGCTATCATCAGCTTCAGACATGAACCCAGCAGGATCTGAAGTTTAATGACTTCTTGTGAACATTTTTATGCCTCTAATTGAGTCACTAATGGTTTTGATTGGGTTTGTTGCGCACAGAAAAGATCTAACCTTTTGTTCTAGTGGAATATCAAAACTTACTGCGTGCAAGTTTCTGAATTACGGTGAGTTTCTCATCATGAATGTCTGATTTATAAACCTTTGTGGTCAAAAAAATCAAATTAAAAAGGTGCAATTTTAAACTGAAACATGCAAAAGCTTCTTTACTCTGTTTTGACTTCAGGGAATCATTCAAAATAAGACCTCAAAGAGACAAAATGCATCAGTCATCCCTTTTAATTTCCATACATTAGGACAGACCAGAAATGGGTTACAGTACATCGGAATATGATCTAATTATAAATGATACATTAGGATTATAAAACAAAAGGATAGATCAGTGCTGTAATCTACCAGAGCTTAAAGTGGACCAGATGACGCAGGTGGACAGGATCAATGATACGATTTCTGAACTATTTATAGTGAACCCCAGAATGCTCAAATATACTGAATGTAAGGTTGAAATGAAGCATGGATGTGCAATATGTTCCTCGAGTTAAGGGAGCAACGTAGCCTCTTTGAAAATGATACCTCTTTTTTTTTCAATTTGAACATAAGTTCCTGAATGTGAAGTTTGAAATATAAAGGTTGTTTAAAGGAAGAAAATGGCTGAATAAATGAATTTGCTGTGATATGAAACAATGGCTAATTTATACATATATTTTTATTAATATCTGGAGATACTTTAAATTGGTTTTCATCAGCTCTCAAGGCAAGTTCGTCCTCTGCAGATATTTTTACGTTTTAATAAAGGTGACGTGAAGGTGAAGGTTCTGCTTTTGCATGGGTACAGTGCCGTCATATCACCTAAATAAAAAAGGACGTTTGCGCAAGGTCATGTTCCTAATTAAGCCAAAAGATCCTCAGCTTACTTATAAAATACTCTTTAAAGGACAGAATTTTCAAAGCAGCAAGATCAAATTTTGATCAAACGAAGGCAATCAGCTATGGATTTCATCATGTTTTGCACTTTTGCTTCCCATCGCATTGCATTCTTCTGACAAAGGACATTTTATTTTGATAAATCTGTGAAGTGAAATCTGAAACCATACTGAACAATTATATTTGTCCCTTTTGGCMTTTTTAGTATACAGTTTTTCAGGATTTATTTGGTTGAAAGCAATTTCAGCGAAGGTGAACATTTCTTGTAATCAGAATCAGAATCATTTCTTGTCATTCACACACAACATCAAAGAGGCAATGCAGAACGAAATGCAGTTTAGAACATCTGTCCGGATAAATAAATAAATAAATAAATAAATAAATAAATAAATAAAGTGGTTTAATGGTGGCCTTGTCAGTAACGAGGGCGTTGCTTCAGTCAGTCGTGGTGAAAAAAGCTGGGGAAAGACAACACTCTCGATTTAGTAATTTTATGTTTCAACCCTCGCCAGTGGTGGGCAGCACTAATCTAAAAATTAGTTCCACTAGCCCCAAAACACTAACTCAAATATTTAGGTCCCCTAATTCTAAAGCACTAACGCACTGAAAAATTTAGCAAAAGCTAATTCTAAAGCACTAAAATAACCCAGTCAACCCATGAACATTCTTCAACAGACAACATGAGTCACATATTGTCATGTTGCTCTCTTAAGACTTATCATTGACATTCCACAGGTGTATTTGGGTTCATATACTGTTAATATATTGTCACCTGGTGGATAAGTGACACACATACGAACAAAATGTGTGACAGCTTTGACCCTCAGCTGTTAACGATAACGTTGATCAATAACATTGATACACCTCAGTTAGTGCTTCTAAATTTCGCCTATAAATTTAACAAGTGCTAATCCACTAATAAATTTCAAAATTGGCAAAAGCCCTAAAGCACTAATCAGGAAATTAGTTCCCCTATTAGTGATTTAGTTCTTTAGGGGAACTGTGCCCTCAGCTATGGACTTGAGGTTTGGTTGAAATGAGCTTCCCTCAAAGGGTGACGAGCTCCGGGAGGGAACTCAGAGTAGAACCGCTGCTCTTTCGCATCGAAAGGAGTGAGCTGACATGGTTTGGGCCTCTGACTTTGATGCCTCCTGGACTACCTTTGGAAGTTTACCATTCAGGCATGTCCCATGTGAAAGAGGCCTTTGGAAAGACCCAGGAATTGTATTTTCTCTGGCCTGTTGGGGTCCCTCATGTAGAGCCGAAAAGTATCACATAAAGGATGTCTGGTTTTATCTGCTGGACCTGTTGCCTCATGACCGACTCTTGATAAGTGGATAAAGATGGAGATAATAAAGGAGTGGAAAAAATCTTAATGGCAGAGATAATACACTAAATCAGTCTGCATGTTGAGATTTCTCCTACAGTGTGATTTTCTGACAACTCTGAATGAAACGTGAAAGCTTCAAACTCCAACCACTCTGTGGTTTGTTGAATGAGAAACTGAAGGGTTCTGACACAGGTTTTGTTGTTAAAGAATCTAAAACCCCAACACACACTCTACTGAATCTACCCTCAGGCTGCTTCTAGTTGTGTGAAAGTCAGAGGTGGTAAATACCATCAATCGCTGTGACATCAAGCTGCTAATCACATTCTTGTTTTCACAGCAAACATAAAGAGGTGCGGCACCGAGGGTATCAAACCTATTTCCTATTTCTGTTATCTCACATGGCTGCTCTGTTGTTGCAATGCTATGTAGGCTGAATTTTATGTATTAGGTATTWTATTTGGAAAACAAAAGAAATTGTGTTTTTGGTTGGTGTCTAGAAGGAGATCGTCCCCCCAGGATTCACTGGCATTTCACAAGAGCTTCAATCAACCTTTTGTAAAACTTGTCCTGATCTAACAGGGACATATTGAATGATAAGAGGCCTGAAACTGACAGATAAAAGCTTTATGATCTTTTTTTTTGTTCCCTGAATCTTGATTAAATCTTAATGGGATCTGAATTCAGTTCTCAGAAGCACTTGTTCTTTCATCAAATGAGTTACTGAAGTGTCCAAGGAGGGAGCCACTCAAAGAACGCCTTTTTAATTTATATTTAATTATGGAAGATGACGAATTGGCATGMAGAGTTCACTTCTGAATCAAGAAAAAAAATCTAGATAAACAAATTGAAACCAGTCTGTATCTTCATGTTTATGTTGAGGTTTTTTTTTCTTTTACAGCCACTGTATTCCACCAATATATCACAAGTGTTTTCGACAAACGCTAAACTTTAAAACAGCGTCAGGTTATTATTTTGATGGTGGTCACATTTTCAGAAATTCTTCAACTTTTCAAATTTTACAAACAAGAGTCAATTTTTTTCAAGTTTGTCAGGAATCAAAAGAAATAAAATAAAGTTTCATGGTTCACTTTCGGTCAATTTTTTTTTGTGGGGTGGGGAATGAAGCAAGCAAATGTTTTAGGAAGTTGTAAAAATACAACCATGTTATTTATATTTATATGCTCAATTTAAGCTAAATTTTAAAATATAATTTTGTAAATTTGGGTAACAAAACAAAAAAAAAGGAGCTTAAAGGAGCTCCTCAAGCTTGTTAACTAGGATCAAAAACAAAGTTTTGGTAATTTTTTTTTTCACTTTAGAATTAATGTATTTTCCAGTAGGTTTGGCTCATTTCATGAACAAAACACTCTAAAAGAATGTTTTTTATTATTATAATTTTTATAATAATAGGTGACCACTGCATCTCTGAGTGAAACCTTTGACAAGATTTAAACAATTTGTGTTATACACTAACCCTAAAGGGATGTATCAGATGTTTTTGCTCTTTGAGTGATTTAAGTTAAAAAAGTGTTTAATTTTGACCAGATTGATGAGCTTATGTCTGAGTTGGACTAGGAACAAAATGGATTGCTGTTGTCTTGAAACAGTTTCAAATAAACTATATTCCTCMAAAACTAAGGTCATTCAAAGAGCTATCTACAACAGGTAAGATGTTAATCTTTCACAACCGTATCACAGAACCACGATTTGAAAGACTGGAACTAGTTAAAAAATATAGAATTCAATGTGTAAGAGAACAAACTAATGTTTGATAAACCAACTCATCCTCCCAGGCTGTGATTCTAATCTGTACAAACAAAGACATGTCCTCAGACTTATACGCTTCGTGACACTTTTACAAACTGCTATAAGACTTTATTGAAATAAATGAATGGGGTGATGTAACTGACAGAGTACTGCCATGCAAGGAAWTATTATGCAGGAAGGCATGCATGAAAGTGTTGGAGAGGTTCATTTTATTCTTCTTTTTTAGACTAAGATGACAGAAAATGTGAAATAATTTATAACTTGAAAGGATTGGCAATTAGTGAAATGATGACATGAGATTCATTGAGTAAAAAAAAGGGCTAGCTGTGTCCTTCAACCTTCAACCTGCTCTTAATGAGGGGCTGGTAACAGGTCTGAACCAAAATCTATTCACTGAATAGAAATACACTAAATGAAATAATGACTGAATGACTCATAGAGTTGTGGTATTTAAAAGCTGGTGGTTTTCRTCATGTTTTTCTTCAGGTTTTGTGTACCCGTGTTGTTTGATTAAAGAAAAATCCTGGTCATGGCTCGCATCCCAGAAGGCAAGAGGGGCCACCAGCTGCAGAATCAGCTATACTTGGTCTTCTTTTATGAYAAATATGAGTCACATCCTAATGGTTTCAGAAAGGTTTTTCAGCATTCAATCACTGCTCTTTTCAAAAAAATAATAAATAAAAAAAATCATTCATTTAGTTTTTTTTTAGGTTCAAATCGTGATGTGACCAGTATGATAAAGTCCATTTGTACCATTGCAGGGAAGAATCTCACAAAAGTATCCAAAGATTTCGGTTTAAAAATAGAGAGGAAAAAAAAACTCTTGACTTCATCTCCAAAGAGAAATTTGTGAGTCAGAAAATGTGACCTTCTAGGAAAAAAAAGATGATTTGATGATTAAAAATAAATGGATGATTGCAGTTTCAGACATTCTAACATAATAAAAGATACACAGTTACTTAACTTTAGATGCTCTGAAAATGGGAGCAACGTGAGTTTTTATATTTATCTCAGCAGCTTCACACACCTTCCTATGTTTACTAAAGGGATAGGTCAGTTCTTTTGATGTGGGGTTCTGTTGATGAGTTATAAACAACAAATATCAATTGTAAACAGCTTTTTGAGTGATCTCATTTTTGTGAGTCAGACAAAACTGCTCTCTCTGGTCAA